GTGGGAGGGGCAGGGGAAAGGAAAGAAGGGAAAGGAAAAATGATGAGAAATGGAAATAAAGTCTTTGTAAATAGAGAAGGGTGGAGGGGGTGAAGGCAGGGCTAGGAATGGGGAAAAAATAAGAACCAAGATGCATTATGTAAAGGTACAAGATCCCAATGAGAAACGTAAATGTGTTGCATACCTACAATGTACCAATAAAAGAATTTAAGAAAAAAAAAGTAAATATGGAAGTTTGTCATAGGACTACTTAGGTCTTTTATTCTGTCTGCTTATTTTATAAAATTGTATTATCTAGGAATTTATTTTCTTTAGATTTTTATATCTGTCATGCTGTTGTTTCTCACAATATCTTCATAATCCTTTTAATGTTTCATGAGATCTGTGATGTGTACACCATTCCCATTTCTGATATTGGCTACTTGGGTATAATCTTTTCTCGGATTTGTGTTTTGTGGGTGTTACAATTCATGTTACAATTTGTTTTACCAGATGTTTAATATTTTTGTTTCATCATTTATTATTTTTCCAAAAGAAACAACGTTTAGTTTTGTTGATCCACTTCATTTTATTTATGTTTTCTATTTCATTAATTTCTTATTTTATATTCTTGAAGAAAAGCTATTGCTAGCATCAAGAATAAACTTGAGGCCTGCATCAAAGTCCAGGTGCCCTACCTACATTATTATTTACATTTTCCTTACTATCTCATTGCTTTCTCTTCTTTTGCTGAAAGTATTATTTATAAAGGCTTGCTGAACAAATTTTGGAAAGTCCAAACATCCTACAGTGACTAAATTTAAATCTTTGTTTAGCCACTAGTTTATCATTAGTAATAAGTTAAATGTTTACCAAGTATTTACTGTTAAATTAACTCATAAACTGATGTTATTCGTGATCTATTAAGTTAGTACTACTTTTATTGGCTCTGTATCTTATGAACAGCAGATAATTATGCTAATTTCCTAATATGACATCTTAGTAACAGAATTTCAAACAAATAATATGAAGTTCTAAGGAAGTTGTTGCTAAAATTGCCAAGAATGGGCCTGAATTAAAAAGTAAACATTTTCAAAGTTGGAGAAATAAAAAACTTTATTATTGTATCTGCATTCTAGAGGAAGAAACGTACTCTTCAGAGGACTTCATCCTTCAGAATATTTAATGACATCTATCAGTGTGAATTTTAAATGGATTCCTGTTTTATAATCATTCATTTTTATGCATACTTCAACTAATTCATTGTTAACAGAGTTCTTTAATTCAAGATATGACATGTACCTAGTTTCAGTGAAATTTCACCAAGGGGATGTTTGTAGAAAGTGATGTCTTTCCACTTGTAATTAATTATTCAAAGAATAAAATCTTGATTTTGATGGTTACCTGATTTAAATTTTAAACCACACAGTGGTTTCCTAAACATTTTAGTAACGAAAGACAAAATATTTTGCAAGTTGACACAAAGAAAAGCAGAATAACATTAGGCATCCCAAAGCTGACGTTGGTTTGACAGTGAAATATATACTTGAAGTTTTAGTTTTATATACATATTTTTGGGGAAAAGTCCCTCTACCCTTTTACATGCTGATATGAATTCTCTCTGGCTTTTATTTATAAGAATGAAGCTTAATGTTACTTATTGGAAGAGATATTGCCCTGAAGATAGTCACTGGTTTACCTGAATGTATGACCTTATGTACTAAGCCAAAGCGACTCTTATTTAAAAACAAACTTGAGTCTTTGGTTTTTGGTGTGATAAATACAAAAAATGATTGAAAGTAAAGAAGACAAAAAGAGAAAAGCAAACTATTATAGTTTTTCAAGGTACCATCTAAATATTAAAAAATGGAAGAGGTAAAGGTGATAAGGGTATAATAGAATGATATATGACATTTATATGACATAAAAGTATTAAGACACTTCACATGTTTGCTAGTTTCCCTTCCACTAAGTATGCTTTGTCTGGGTGCTTCTAGATAAAATATATAGACTTGGAAAACCTTTGTTTATTAGCTCTGTAGAGATTATTTTTGTACTATTTGTAACACATTATTGCAACATTATTGTAAGTCAGTGTCCAAAACACTTCCTGAGATGATGGGAGGCTTTTTTGTTGTCCAACTGGGATGCCACTAGGCACATGTGGTTACTGAATTCTTGGAATGTAGTTAATTCTACTGAGGAACCACAACTTCATTATATTTAGTTTGAATTAATTTAAATTTCATATTAAATAACCATATGTAGCTAGTGACTATCATAGCATACAAACACGTTTATGAGTTACAATATGTAAAATAGAACAGTATGTTGCAGGTAATCACTATCTTTTAGTGTTTGCTGTTGCTATAAATATTATTTTATAATTAAAGTATATTTTGGAAAATGGCTTCATTACATGAAACCAGTTGATAATAAGGCATTGTTATTAATAACCATACACTAAGAGACCCAAGAATCTGCCTGCTGTACTCCCTGGGATTGTTCACTTGACATCTATCAGCTTAAAAACCAAAATCACCTGCAACAAATTCTATGCCAGGGTGAAATTTCAGATATTCTCATGATTTAAAGTTGAGTTAGATAAATTACGAACTTGGTATCCTGTTTGTTGTCCTTTATTCCTACTTTACCTCATCTTAAAATCACAATGGTGCAAGCGTGGACTTACACCAAACAGTTTTCAGCAGAGGAGAAAAATGTAAAGAAAAATGATTTATTTCTAAATCCTAAATTAAGTTAGGAAAACCGAACATTGGTCCTTACCTATTCTGTTTATTGGATAAGAAAAGTTTTATTCCTTTAGTTTTATGTGTCATGTATATTTATATGACCTTACAAAATGTTAGATTAAAACATTTTAGGGCACATATAGCTTAATTTGCATGTGAAGATATTTTTAAATACTCTTAAATGTACTCTAATTTCCACTCTGTTGAGGACATCACTCAAAATCTGGAGCTCCCTGTATTTCATGAGTTCTTAGTGTTCCTATGAAACAGGCAAGTTCAGACTGAATGCTCATTTTTATTACAGATTTTATAAAAGTTATGTTTTTCTCACACTTTTCACATACTTGCTTTGCGTTCTTTACTGAGACCATATCTCAGTTTTGTCTCAATGCTTTTGAAAGACTTCTGTATGCTTAGGCAAAGATACGAAGTGGATATGGATGACAATTTCGGGCAATAGCAAGTACAACTTCCAAAAATGCTTCTGTCCCACAATGTCAGGGGGCTGACTTAGAAAAAAAAAAACAAACCAGCTACTACTGATCTTTTCTTGTGTGATTTTTTTTGGATTAAAAAAATTTTTTTATTGTGAGAGCAGTAATCTGAAAAAGATTAACACAGAATAAAACAATATTGCCGTTAAAGGGGTTCAAAAATTAACTCAGATAAACTTTAAGGTTGATATATTGCAAGATTAATTAAAAATGACATTTTTAGGTAAGTCTATGCTCTCATGAAGTGGTACTGAAACTCACACTGTGTACAATTTCATCCTTCCTAACCTTAGTTTTGTTCCAGTATCTACCCCCATCTACTTTACAATGTGCCCCACAGGCCTATTTTCAAGTCCAGGGCTAAAGTGAAGGGGCTCAGTCAATCATGGTGGCCTCTTTATCTCTGAAGTGATTGGCTTAGCATGAGCACCATAGCTTGCCTGGCCAATCAGAACAATGCTGTCACTGGAAGTGCATGCTGGGAGGATTTGCTAGATGGTAAAATATGACTTGCAAGAAGATGTGTACTGTACCCCGTCTTTAAGCTTTCTTGTTAATGCAATAATGCTGCATCTATCTTTTACTCTATAGAGGAACTAGCTTCCAAGTGGAGTGTGGGCAATGAGGCCTGTAAACACCCAAGGCTCTTGCTGAAGTCCTATGGCTGTTACAATAACCATCTCTTCATTTACTAATCTGTAGGATAACTGGTATATTATTTAAACCATTCAAATAGAGATTTTTCAGTTTCTTTTACTCCAATGCTTCTTAACTTCTATTTTACCATTATTGTATAGCTATATAAAAATGTTACATAATTATTTGAAAAAGGTAATAGAGGACCATTCATTATATATTTTTCAAAGTGCAGAAATAGCTTTTACTCTGGTTATGTTGATCAGGATTACTATGATTTGTGCATTACTGCTAGTTTGTGTAGCAAGTTGGTTTGCCCTTGTTTCTAAGCTATATTGCAAAGAAATAAGCATTTTAAAACTTCTTTACATTCAGGATCTAAAACAATTATATTCATCACTTTAAGAAATAACCAGTACAAAATCAAAGAAAAACAAGTTTATTAAGTAGAGCATTTTATTAAAGTATTTATATGAAGATAAGATACTGATTCCGATTCCATGAAAACATTCAATATATGACATTAGAAAAAAAATTGTAAATGTTATAATTACCATGAACTAGCATTTTGAATTTTTTCTCCTTTTATTATTGTATAGTAGGGCCTAGAGAATGTAATTTTCTATAAACTACCCATGTTGGTTCCAACTTGATCTTGATTCTACTGTTTGAAAGGATGAGCCATAGATTCCAGATTTCTTGACGGTTCACCATAAAATGGATTTGAGAAGGAGTATACAGAACTCTAGAGAAGAAATGCGTATTCAAAGGTTAGGATTTGGGGCATTAAAATAACAATCTTCTGTAAAGGTTATGCAGAATGCAGCAAGTCCCCACTGGATTTCCACTGCAGGAATAATTGCAGCATCTCTGGGTCTTCCTCCATGCCTCAAGTAGGTCTTGCAGGACCTCTGACACAGGGCTGGTCTATACATGCTCCTAGCATCATCTGCACCTGGATGCCAATAGGTCATCCTTAACCCTGTAGGTTGCAGGAAGGCACTGGCCAGGATTTGACTTCCTCTTTATTTGGTGTTGATTTCACTAAGCCTGCTGTCATGGATAAAGTTCGGTTTAACAGGATATAACAAAAATACAAAAAAGAAATCACCAGCTTTAAATTAGTGGAATTACAGACTAGAGCATGGATACAAAAGTTGAAAATTTGGAAAGTTCTAGAGGACATACTGATTTCGTCAAGAAACAATTTGCAAGAGAAAATGGAACCTAGAGATTAACAGAGACATAAGAAATCTATATATATTGTGTGTGTGTGTTTGTGTGCCAGGGATCGAACTCCGGTCCTTCCGGTTGCACAGCAGGTGGTGAAACCACTGAGCTAAATCCCTAGCCCTGGATGCATATATTTTAAGTAGATGCTGATTTAAAAAATACTAACGACAACAGCTTATCTGTGAGAGATTTAGATAGGTCAAAACAGAATAGTTGATATCAAGAAATCATTGTTTAGGTATGATACTGTGGCTACATTAAAAAAAATCCTTATCACTTAAAGATACGGTTGGAGTTTTTAGATTTGAAATTAAATGATGAGACAGATGCGCTTAATTATGTGCAGTTGGTCACCTGGGTGGCCACCTAGAGGATTAGTAAAGCAGTCTTCCAGGTGAGTGTGGTGGGTCATGGGGGCCTGACCTTGGGTATTGTAACTGGCCATGCCCCTTTCTCTCTGGAAGTGTTCTACTGCTCTGCTTCTGGGTCACCATGAGCTCTACTTCCAGGTCACCACGAGCTCAGTAGCTTTGCCTTGCCACCTCTTTCCATCCTGACTTCTCTGCCTTGGAGTAAGCAGGTCACAGACCACTGAAACTGTAAGCCAAATAAATCTCTTCTTCACTGATTTGTGGGTGTCAGGAATTGCGTCCCATCAATGGGAAAGCTAATGCAAAACATATCTGGGATTTGTTGAAAACTCCAGGGGATTGAGGGAACAGGTGAAAACAGCAGTGAATTAAGACAGTTGATGGCTGATGTCGGCAGTGCCAGTTCTCTCTTTCCTCTATCCTCTCAATATCTATAGCAGAATACAAGTTATCTGTCAGGGTTCTTAGAATAATATTTGAAGTTTGTTTTTCTATTATATCAATGAAAATAAACTTAATATAAAGTCATTTTTTTCTGATAGGTTTGAAATCGAAACAGCAACAAAGGTCAGCAAATGTGATGGGATTTCTTCTCAGTTATTCTTAATGAAAGAAAAAAGGTACTTGAAAGAGGAATAATTTTTCTTTTATCAGAATGGAAAATAAAAAGAAGCCACTTCGAAGTTACGGTAGAGTCATCGATTGCACTGCTGTGTGTACACACAACACGCTCGGAAGCAGGTTGAAAGTGAGTCTTGGATTCAGATCTTTTTGGTTTATGATGAGAAGCAAAGATCTGAACTCCATAGAAGCGTCTTCCCAGGGGAAAATAAAGAATGCATAACATCTTCCTAGCCACTTTTTAATTACTGGAAACCTGTGGGATGATAATGTAAATAACCAAATCTAAAATACTTCACTCTAATTCTTTATAAATTAATTTTATTTATAGATATTCAAAGTTAATATAAGGTGATGCTGAAAGATTTTCTTTTCCTTGGTAAAAATGAAAATAAGTTTATATTGTACTTTCCTGTTTGATTTCTTAAATAGTGTTTGTATTTATTATCTACTACGTAGGGCTACGTTTTTCCTTTTATTATCTTAATTCACTTGATAAATCATTAAAATGAATTCTCTTTGTGTTCAGGGAAATATCTTCTCATTTCTACCATAAAAATATTGAAAGTAAAGTGTACATCATAGTTGAAGAAAACATGGAAATAAAAAAGCCAAGGATTATGTTAGACTCCAGCCACATCACCAAAGGCTCTAAAACTACTAGAAACCATCTAATCTGATGCCTTGATAGTCATTTTCAATAAGAACAAAATAAGAAACTTCCTATGGCTTAATAACAAAAAAAATACTAGCTTTCTATATACTTTCTTTTATGAAAATAAATCTAAAATAATGTTTCTAAACTGAGATGTAAGGAAACTTTCATTGATAGTATGTGGTGTGTCATGACTAAACTTATTTCGTATCTGGTGAATGTTCATGTTATCTATCTAAGAATAGGATGGAGTGTTTCAGAAAAGGTAGACGTTTTCTGATAAGACAGGTAAGACTGGGAGAGCTCATATGCAGTAGGGTGACCATGGTTAACAATACTGCATTGTATAGTGGATATTTGCTAAGAGAGTACATGTAAGAGTTTGAGCTCTCACACACATGTGAAGGGGAAGGGAGTGTGGTGATGGGTATGTTTTGGTTATAATTTCTCTCTCTATATAATCATGTATCACTCAAAAGTATACAACTTTTACTTGTCAATATACCGCAATAAACCTGCAAATTGATGTAAACAATTAAAAAAAGACAAGTAAGAAAAATTCCTTGACATTTTCTCTTTTACCTACTTATTATTTCACTCCCCCCATAGAGCCAAAAAATATGTGAGGCATTCTCATTTCTATTTTCCTCATCTACGTTATTAGGTAATGATCCTGACTACTCACACCAAAATTTAAAGAGAATACAAAATGCTATACTTCCTTTAGTCTTTTGAGAATAAAACTTAAGAACACTCAATGAATATTTACTGTGAATAGCTGACTAATACTCTGTGGATTAAACTGATATTTCCCAGATTTTTTAAGCTCTGAATATGAACAGTGACCAGGAAGCCATTTAGCAGTGAGCGGATTTCAAAAGCAGGTCAGAACTGCTGTGAAATGGAAAATTTTTGTTGCACATTTATTAAGACTGAAACTCCTTTCTACTCCCAACTGAAATCACCCCATTAAGATGTTTCACTTGGCCACAATGTTGAAACATGTCCAGACAAAACTAGTTTGGGGTGTGTGTGTGTGTGTATGTGTGTGTGTGATCATGCTTTGGCAATAATACACTTCATGATTGCCACTTACCTCTATTTTCTCTGGGTTGTTCCAATCCCCATAGATTGGATTGACAAAGGCACAGTTTCCACTTCTGTTAGTTTTCCTTAAAACATATAGGGCCACCACAAAAATAGTCAATAAGTATTGAAGGGTAGGTTACTGATGGGTAGACACTTGAAAACACATTGTGTATCCAGCATACTTATTTTCATGTATATACTGTCATAAATCTTTTCTGGAAGTACATCAAGACAACTACATTCTTGAAAGCAAATGTAATTTGATCTCGATTATTTAGATCCAAATAAACCTAAGCAAATAAACGTGGCATGAGTTGGGTTTACTATTGAATTATTAAAATATTACTCAAGGAACTCCAACAAGACAACATCTCCGAGAACAATGGAACGTGAAGCTGCACTGGTTCTAGGGAAAGGAAATTGTCAGATCCCTTAGACAGCAACAGAGCAAAACATTCTGAAGACCCTTTGCCTGATCTTGAAGACCCTGAAGACAATTACAAAATTCTAAAGTCAGAGTCTTTAGAATTTTAATCAGCAAATTTAAATATAAGAGTTCTGAAGAATTTTTATGTTAGTGCTTCCTTTTGTGAAAATCCTAATGAGACCAGCCTTTGGTAATCTCACATACTGGACTACATATGCATAATTCACCACAGTTAGCCGAGTTCCTAAGTGATAATTTTCTTTTTATAGTTTTATTAGAAGACAAGCAGCCATACAATATTTGGGTAAAACTGATGAAGAAAAATAACTTTCATAAGAACAGAAATAATATAACTCATAACTATACCCTGTGACAGTATAAGGAAAGCTTCCCATATGTGGATGTACACACACACACACATGCACGCACGCACACATACACCCACACATACACACGCACACAGTGGAGAATAGAAGACTGATTGATTCTGGGATGACTTCCAGTGTCTTCAGGGCAAGCAGGAGGAAAAATATATAATGCATGAATATTCTTGACTAATCAGGCTATACTGAAAAGTAATGTTTGTCAGTAATATACCACCAAATCCTAACAGAAATGGTATTAAAGAGGAATCTCGCACTGATTTGCTTTTTAAGAAGCAATTTCCAGAGGCCTGACCTCCTACTGTCACCTCCCCAAACCACATGGTCCTTTTCTGAGAAGCAACAGCATCGGTAAATCTCGTAGGCTAATCTGGGCAATTACACTTGGCCGCCAATACATTCCCCTGTGGAGTGGGTGCCTTCCAAGTTTCTCATCTCCACTGTTTTTCAGCAGTTGGTTTAAATACGTATCAGATCAAATATTTCACTATCACTGAGGCTACATTTTGGTATTGATAAATAGGGCCACCTGCAGCTATTTTGTGGGTTATTAGTTGAAAAAAAGTCATAGGTTAATCCTTAAATAAGTCCACAAGTATCTGCTAATTCCTTAACCAATAATGTAATACTTATGGGTTTCATCAGTTACACTGACTACATTGTTGTTAAGTTCTTCCAAGACTAGTCTGTGTTAATTTGTCAGAGTAGCAAGCTCCAGAATTGATAGAGTTAGGACACTTTGCTCTCAAAGTAGGGACTGAGAAGGGAATGAAGGGCCGTCCTGAAAGGTGTCAAAATGCCAGAGCAAGAGTTGCTCCCAGAAACACTGAAGATGAGGTGGGGAGTCTCTAAGCAGAATGGAAACTAGGAACTAGGTAAATTTGGGGTGCCACTGACAAGAAGGGCTCAGAAAGATTCATCCAGGCTGAAACTGGGCATGAAATCGGAAGCAGAAAGGAATTTGAACCACAGGGAAGACAGGGCAGATGGCCCAAAGCCAGGCAGGTGACTGCACATGGCAGGCACAGGCTTGTGGTCCAACCAGAAAGAAGGAAGGCACAAGCAACACAAAGGACTGCAACACAGGTGATTAGTTTTGACTTTGGGGTGCTGAGATCTCACACGATGCAGACCAGCATGGCATGCAGGAGTCAGGAGAACGGATAAAATGCCCAACCCCAATAATTTAATTAATGAAGCTACTTTTCAGAAAGGATGTTTAAGTCTTAAATCATTTTCGATTAGAATGAAAAAAATGAATGTATTGAGGTTTCAGGGATTGCATGACTCTAAAAATGGAAGATGATTCCTGGGGGTAAGAATGTGGAGTTATCTTCAAAGAGGAAAGAGTCATTGTGTGAAGAGGGGAAGGTGAACAAATGTGAAATCCTCCTATTTCAAATGTTATTAGTAGTCTCAAACTACTTTTATTTCTCCAAGGTCAAAGGTATGGCTGCCATCCTTGGGAATCCCTGGATTGTTATGTTTGAATCTTAATGTCTTTCCTATGTGTAAAGTAAAATGTTATACACCAATTATAGCTACTTCCACTAGGTCAGTTTCTCATGTCATTCCACACTTGCTATTTTAAATTCTATGATACAGATTTTCCTCATCAATCACCTGTTCCACATTCCAGTAAAAACAAATTTACTTAAAATGTGAGGGCAACAATATGTCTATGTGAATATGAAGTTTTCTGCTGGTTGTGTCACTGAAATATAAAACAACTCTGAAGTCTGCACCAGGCTAAAAATACAATGTGTAACTTGTTATATCTGTCAATAGGCAGATGGCTCTTATGGGTTGAGGTTTCAAAGAACATAACCACCTCTGGGAATGAACAAGGAACTGACATAGAAATACTGAGTAGAGGAAAGGAATTTGCAAAGGTCATACTAGTTTTCCTCCTGGAACCTCTCGTGTGTTTACTGAAATTACTATGAAGTTCCTTCTACATATACTACATGCAGGCACTGTTAAAGATGGCCTGGTAGGCAGGCTAAAGAGACATATGTCAGTATAGAATTTAAATAATTCTGATCAGAAATTCTAATTTTAATTCAGCAAGCACATGTGCACAACAAAAAAGAATTCACTTCGTGAATTTTGTCACTCCTTACTGACAAAATTGAAATCTCTTGAAAGAACATGGCTGTTATTATAACAGTATGTAATTATTAAAAGAAGGTAATGAAGAAAAATAAAATGAACAAAACAAAAATTCAACTATGTCATGACCAGTAAACATGGTTTGGCATGAACATTATTTTATACTATTTATTTTTAACAGCTTTACTGAGGTACAGCTCATATGCCATACAATTCACATATTTAGAGTATATAAGTTAATGGTTTATAGCTACATTAATTTTATTAATTTTTAGTTACTAATTTTTAGAATTATGATTATATATATAAAACATTAAATGTGCCATTATAACCACTTTTAATGACATAATTCAGTGCCATTAACTACAGTCACAGAGTTTTGTAATCATCACCATTAACTATGTGAAAAATGTTTCTCATTTTCTAACAGAAATTTCATAGTTATCAGGCAATAACTGCTCTATCTAAGCAACTCTGGTGACCTCTAATTTGCTGTCTTTTTTACTTTACCTGTTCTAGGTACTCCACATAAGTGGAATCACACGTGATTTGTCCATTTGTCTCTGGCTTACTTATCGTTTCTAAGTTACACAATGTATCAGAACTTCAATTCTTTTGCATCTCTCTAATGACCAGCGATGTTGAACATTTTTTCATATATTTACTTGCTGTTTTTACTTCTTTGTCTGAGAAATGTCTGTTCATTTCAGATGTCCATTTTTGAATTGGGTCATTGAATTTGGGAGGTCTGATTTTTTTCAGTTCTTTATAGATTCTTGATAGTAGACCTTTGAGGAACAGCTGGTAAATATTTCTTCCCACATTGTAGGTTGTCTCTTAGCTCTGTTGGTAGTTTCTCTTGCAGTGCAGAAGCTTTTTGATACAATGAGATCCCAGTTGTTGATTCTTTGTGCTGGCTCCCGTGCTACTGAAGATTTGTTCATAAAGTCTTTTCCTATAACAATGTCATCAAGAGTTCTATCGAACTTATCTTCCAGCAAGTTTAGTGTTTCTGACTTAATATTTAGATCTTTAATCCACTTCGATCTTAGTTTAGTGCATAGTGATAGGTATGGGTCTAGTTTTAATTTCTGACAGGTTGAAATCCAGTTTTTCCAACACCGTTTATTAAATAGGCTATCTTTCCTCCAATGAGGGTGGTTGGCTCCTTTGTCAAAGACGAGGTGACTGAGTATGTCTGGAGTTGTTTCTGCATCTTCTAATCTATTCCACTGATTTGTGCCAGTACCATGCTGTTTTTATTGCAGATGAAATCAACACTGAGATTCCACCTCACCCCACAAAGAATGGCTGCTATCAAGAAATCAAAAACAAATGCTGGCGGGGGTGTGGGGAGAAAGAATCCTTCTCCATTGCTGGTGGAAGTGTAGACTGGTACAACCACTGTGGAAATCAGTATGGCGATATCTCAAAGAACTAGGACTACAGGTTCCATTTGACCCAGCTATTCCCCTACTGGGAATCTTCCCCAAAGAATTAAAAGAATCATACCACAGCGATATATGTGCACCTATGTTTATAGCGGCACAATTTGTAACAGCTAAAGCTTGGAAACAGCCCAAATGCCCATTGACTGGAAACTGGATAAAGAAGATGTGATTTTTTTTTTATAAAATGGAGTACTACACAGCCATAAAGAATGAGAAACTAGAGACATTTATAGCTAAATGGATGCATATTGAGACCATACTCTTAAGTGAAATAAATAGGACACACATGTAAATACCAAATGGTTTCTCCAGTGTGAGAAACTGAAAGTGTAAATAAGGATGAAAATGATTAAAATGAATAATTGATAATTTGAAATAAGAAAAGGTCCAAGGGTTTGGGGATGGTGGAAGGGAAAGGGGAAAGGGAAGAAGGGAAAGAAAAAAATTATGAGAAAAAAAAATGGAATCAAACTCTGTGTAGACAGGGAAGGGTGGAGGGGGTGAAGGGTGCACAGGTAATGGGAGTAAAAATAAAAACTAAGATGCATCATGTTCTGGTACAAACACCCAATGATAAATGTAAATGTATTTTATACCTAAAATGTACCAATAAATATATATATTTAAAAAATAAAAAAAAATTTAAAAAATAACTTCAATCCTTTTATTGTTTAATACATTTATATGCATGTATATGTCACATTTCTAAT